ACACTTGCTCGGAGATACCGCACTCCAAGACTTCAACCCGAAGGAAAATACCTTTCCTTCGTACGACCAAGGGAAACAAGCTTCCCTTAATGTGTATACAACACTAAACACTCAAGAACAAGACTCTCTTTAAGAGTAGATAATGAGTAAACTATGTACGCTCAAGAACAACTCAAACTTCACACAAATTGGCTCTAGAAAGCTATGGAAAAGAATGTTGTTTGAATGCAATGAAAATATGAATATTGTGAAGTTGATTGATGTGTAAAGCAGACCCAAACACCCCTTTTTATAGTGCCAAAATAGGCTCCAACGGACCAATACATTAAAGGGGTGATTGGCTTGATTTATGGGATTGAATAAATTTGGGATCTGCAGGATATTGGCTTCCCATCGATGTTTAGACTCACCCATCGCTCGTAAGCCAAATTTCCTTCAGTTTTGAAGCCAACGGTCACCTACCCATCGATGGATAAATGCTTCCCATCGCTGGGTGGGAGGTTGACTTTCAAACAAGGAAAGAATGAGCCTTAAATGACTCACAACGGTCATGCCTAACCAGCTATGGGTATGCCCTCCCATTGCTGGGTTCCCATCGATGGGTAAAGGTTCCCATCGCTGGGTAAGGGCATTCTGCCTTGCGAAAATGTTGGACCAAGGCTTAAACAGCGATGGGTAGAACTTCCCATCGCTGTTTGGCATGGTTCTGGAAATCAGTTGGGCTAAAGGCTGCTTACCCATCGCTGGGTAATATCTCCCATCGCTGGGTAGAATGATTCTGGAATCCCGGGATCACTTACCCATGCGTGGGTGATATCTACCATCGCTGGGTAGATGGCTAGCCCAGAACCATGGCTTAGCTCACCGGCACTAAAACCCGACCGAAAAATTCAAAGTTCTCCAATGTAAAAACTAAGTATATAAAACACTTATTTAATGTATAGTGATGTCAAAACAAGCTTTTTAAGTTGAAAACCACGTCGTTAAGGTAAAAGCCACGGTTGACCAAGTCAACGCCGTACACGGGTGGTTTTACCAAAAGACAAAACTGAAAGGTGGTTTTCATGATGTTTTGATTGGAGAACCATTTAAATGAATTCAAAAACAATTCCTACACAAAAAGACTTGAAAACCACTTCATTTAAGTAAAAACCACGGCTAGCCAAGTTTATGTCGTTTCACATGGTGTTTATCAAACGACAAAAAACAAAAGGTGGTTTTTGAAGAGTTTTTGATGGAAAACTATTTAAATGTGCCCAGAAAAAAAAACCAATCATAAAAATTTGAAAACCACTTGGTTAGTTCGGACACCAAAAACCAACGCCGAAACCGAATGCCGAACGCCGGTTTCTGAAACCTGAATGCCGGATGGCTTGGTTTTTGGTTTGGGCGAACACCAAGTTTTTTTAATGTTTTAAACATGTTTGAAAAAAAATTTTATGATGTGAAATGCAATGAAAAGAATTTTAGCCTAAAGAGCCACGGTGTAAAGATTGGGTCGGTCTTGATCACAATTGTGACCGACTCAACGACACTAAGACTACGGTCTTCGTTCTTGGTCTTCTTTTGGCCCTTGTTCTCTTTATTCTCATCTTTGGTTCTCGCCTTGTATATTCAATGACTTGTCTCGTTCACTGCGGTTTGGCATTATCAAAACCTGTCATAACAACGAACACGGCTTTAGTACGAAAACGTGATAAACCCGTGTTTCAACAGGCCAAACAATGCTTTGAGAAGCCTTCGAGAAACCGATGGTAAGTTACCATTTATGCAGAAAAGTAGAAGAGGATGGAGAATCTACCTTGTTCAATGTAATTTTTCTTTTTAGAAATATTGTTAAAACCGAGTTCTTGAGATTTCCAATAAAGTTGTGATATTTCACTCTGTGGTTTGATGTCAATCTTTGAAGACTTAATCAAATTCTATGATATGGAAATTGGATGTCTTGATCAGAAATGTCAGAGACAAGTAAGGAATTCTCAAGGCAGTTGATTACTTTGAAGATCCTCTAATCCGGAACACTACATGATAACCGAATGTCTCGCTACAAACCGCTGAAGGCTAAGTCATCCATATCGGAAGACTAGTGCGGATCTCTTTCTCACCTGGAAGTCTGTGAATAACTTTTCTGGATTAGTCAGCAAAGAACCGGATGCCTCAAGAAAGACCGGAATTCTCAGAAGCAGACAAGTGAGAAAAAGACTTAGAAAAATCTAAGTCTTGAATGAAGAAATTCTACCCGTTGGTAAGGAAAAATCAATCTCTTGATTTTCAAGGGCTAGATTGAAGATAATTAAGCTGATTCAAGAACAAATAACTTGATGACAAAGTCTGGACCTGTAACGCCCCAAAACATACCCTAAAATTTTTAATGAATAAATATTCAATTAGTCAAATTTGTTTCGATTAAAATAAATAGTTATTGGGCTTTGGGCCGAAATGAAATGTGTTTTGACATCCAATATCACAAATCAGGATAAGTCTCATAAAGATAAATCCAATATGTTGACTAATTGGGTAATCTTGGTTGGGAACCAGAGTACAGACCCAAATCAAGAATAAATTAAGAAATTTACTTGTGATGTAAATATTAAAATGATTTATTAAAATAAATCATGAAAATGAATTATATGAATTAAATGAGAGAACCTTTTTGAATAAAGGTCAATTAAATAAATTTGGACTCTGTCAAAGTCAAACACTTAAAAATATGATGTCAGAAAAAGTATTACAAATAAATATAAAACCTATGTCGTTGGATAGAGCTTGACTATCTAGTCGCAACAGTGCAAACGGAATTTAATTTGGAGAATGTTGGACCAAAAAGTGTACCCCGACTGGGACCAAATTAGTCCCAATCAGGGAAGAGCTGTACAGACTGCGCCTCTTTCTCCACTATCTCCATTTTACGATTAATGATACAAACCTACAGGGATTTGGCTTGGCTTCTTCCTCAATCACCTTACTATATAAACCACCATCAATCTCTCCATTCCTCACCAAAACTTAATAAGACAAGTATCATTTTGTTCTTGAGAGTGTGAGGAATGTAGTGGTGCTGACAAAATAGTGTGAAGTTGCCGGATTTGGGAGAAATCGCCGCCGGAAGTTTCGCCGGAAAATTTCCAAAACCTTTGTTTGGCTTCGAGGTAAGCCCGTAGATATATCTAATGACTAGAATCTTCATATAGATCGATTCTACGTTCATAGATGGTCATTTGGTTGAGTTTTGTGTTTGACATGCTTGAAGAACTAAGAATCGTAAACCATGATTTTGATGTTAAAACTATGAATTAATTATGCCAAAATGATCTATGAACCTTGGAGAACACTTTTATATACTTTAATTGAAGTTTGGTGAGTAAAAGTGACATTTCCGCAAGTTGGCTCGAGGTAGAAGACGATGGATAATCGATTATCAACTTGAAAATCGATTATTCATCATTCTACAGATTTTTTGAACAAAGCTGAGCAACAGTCGATTGTCAGAATGTGATAATCGACTGTCAGCCCTCTCTGAAGTTTGATAATCGATTATCAGCCCATTCTGAACATCAGACATTAGATTATCAGAAGTGACAGTAGACTGTCTCCCTACACTATTGAAGAAAATGAAGATAATAGCTAATAATTGAATTTCCTATCATATATTAATCAATTATTATTTAGAAAACATGATTTTTGAACTATGGAATCTTATTTTTGATACCAATAAATTATGATTAATATAAAGATGATCTCTTGAAATAAAAATGATGTTTTGACAACTAAGAGGACTTTACGTGATGTATGACGGTAAGCTAGGGTGTTAACACTCGACGCTAGGCCGCTAATTGTTATTGAATATTATGATGATTATTGTTATGTATGATTATTGATGATGAACCCACTGATTAAAATGATTATTGTGAATGATTTAAACTATGATTTCAAATGAATACAACGATAATTATGAAATAATTCGGATTGATGAATTGTACTGTTAAGGATTTCTAGAAGAACTCTAGGATATACCCATTTGGAAATTGATGATGAACTATTAAGGATATCTAGAAGAACTCTAAGATATATCCCTTTTGATGTTGGTTTCTAATACTATCTAGAAGACCTCTAAGATAGATTAGAAATAGGCCTTGCGGGTATGATGCCCGGTGGCTAGGATTAAAACGTACGTACGGGATCCAAGAACCAATCTTGAGTACCTACTCGTTTGGGGGTACCACCCAACCCAACAGTGAACACTACGCTGTCGGTTTTTGGTTGACCTTAAGCGAAGGTAAGTTTAAGATTTGAAAACACTTTTTTTAAAAAATATATCTTAAACTAGGCCTAGCTTAAGGATTAGAATATCTTGAACTAGAATTAGTTTAAGAATTGAATTGGCCTTAGACTAAGAATAGTTTAAGGATATTATTGAATGAGGATGTTGAATGTTGAATATGAATATTGAATGACGAATGTTGAGTATTGATTATTGTATATTTGAACTGAATACTTTGTGCATGATATCAAATGATTTGATTATGAATTTGGGTTCAGTTTATATGGATGTTCGACGCATTAGATATGCTTACTCAGCTTCACCGCTGAGCGTGTAGTATGTTTTATTTGCTACACGCAGGTTAATAGAAAGAATGATGTGACGTGATTCTGGAGGCAGACGGAGGCGATGATTTGTCGGAATGGATGTGATGGTTTTGAACATAAACAAATTATGTTTGTAATTATGATTTGTTAAGCTTCCGCAATATTCAAAACTCCGCACTGTATATGTTACGAAAAATAGTATCGTGATAAATAAAAGTATTTGAAAAGTTTTAAATTTTACGATTACCAAGTTAATACTTTAGTCCGAAAGGGGCTGCAGACCTGGACGAATTAGGGTGTTACAGGACCTCTCAAATTGAAGAGCTCGCCCAGAATTCCTAAACAAACACTAAAAGACAAACTGAGTAAAGAGCTACAGTCCAGAATTCTTGAACAACAGCTAGAAGACGGATTCTGTGGAAAAAGGAATCCCTCCTCAAACAATTGGGTATGTCCAAACACCCATTCCAATGAGGAATCTTCAATCACAATCTTCATTCAAAATTGAAGCCAGCAAATGCAACGGATAGCCTATCTTGATTCAACGGATAGATAATCCAATCCAGCTATAAATAGCATCCTTGAAAGACTGGAGAAGACATGAGATAGAAAGCACGAAATACATACAACGAAGAAAACTACTACAAAGCTATCTCATTCACAGTTAGCCAAAAAGCTTAATAAAGAGAGATTTCTAAACTCCTTATCCAGAAGCAAACTTCTCCTCCTTCCAAAGAGCTATAGTGTAAACACTTGAAGGTTTCCTTGCGTCAAGTACCACACCATGTTGAAGGATGCAACTTTTAATCAAACTTCTTGATTAAAAAGGGGGTACATCAACTTTCTTACAAGTTGATCTTGCAAGTCCTATTCTTCGGATCTTGCAGTTGTTGATGAAGCTTGACCTTCGAAGAAACAACAAAGCCAGCACGAGTGCAGTAGCAACATTGGCCTTGCGAAGATATACCGTGCAGAAATTCACACAAGTATAATTGTTGGTTCATTATTCAAGAACCAACTACATAGTGGATTTTGAGGACGTAGTAGGATTACCCCACCTTCGAACCTCGTTAAAGATTGCATGTCTCTCTTTTTTATCATTATTTATACTTGCAAAACTAACCCATCCATATTGATTACTGCTCAATTAACCCACTAAATTCCGCGCACAATCTAAAGTTCACAAGAACTCTAGATTAACACTCATTTTCACGTTTTCAAAAGAAACGAAAAAGTTTTAAATTTGTAACAAAGTCTATTCACCCCCCCTCTAGACTTTGTATCTCACCACTTTGGGACCACCAATTGGTATCAGAGCAAACTTCTCACTATCTACACTTAGATTAACGAGAAGCGATCATAATGGTGATTAATATGGATCACGGTTTGCCCAACTTTTCTCTTCTAGGTTATGATGATTGGAAGATCATGATGGAAGCACACCTCTACGCTCTACATGATTGCATGTGGATGGTGCTTGAAGATGGACCCTTGAAAATCCGAATGGAGAATCTTGAGAGGAATCCAACCAGTCCAGATGTAGTCCAGTATATTCCAAAGCCCAAGGAGAAATGGGATGATAGAGATTGCAAGAAGCACAATCTGGACAACGTCGTTAAAGCAGCCATCTTCAAGACACTTGATCCCATCACCTTCTCTAAGATCAAGCATCTTAAGACTGCCATGGAGATATGGCAAGGTCTTGGGAAGCTGTGTGAGGGATCAGAGGATCTGAGAAAGCAGAAGATAGAAGTCCTGCTTGAGAAGTTCAAAAGCTTCAAAATGCTTCTCGGAGAATCATTTGATATGTTGGATGAAAGATTCCACAAAATTTTAAATGATCTTGCATCACTTAACCACATTCTTTCTCCCAAAGAAAAGAATGTAAGGTTACTGAGATCTCTTCCAACTGAGTGGTACACCAAAGCCACAACCATGGAAGAAGGAAGAAACCTGGAGCTGTCTAAGGTCTCCTTGATGAGCTCAGAAACTATGAGCATGAGCTGAAGAAGAAGAAGGAAGAAGAAGTCACTCCATTTCCCACGGCACTGATGACAACTCCCAGAGTCCCATCAAGCGAAGGGACATGCCCAAGGAACTGTGACACTCCTTCCTCTAGCGAGCCACCAAGCTAAAAAACGGAGAACTACGATGAGGAATTTGCCATGATGATCAAGCATTTCCGGAAGTTCAAAAAGTTCTTCAAGAAAGCTGACTCAGTCAGAAGGCCATCCAAGAGAAGGCCACAGGTAAGTGACTCCCCTCCTGAATCTTATTTATGTTATAATTGCAGGAAGCCTGGTCATTGGAAGTCAGCATGCCCATACCCAAAAGTGGAAAAGTACGGAGAAAGAGAAAGAAACGAGAAGAAGAAGAAGAAGAAGGCAATGGTTGCAGCTGAAAGTGACGATTCATCTAGTTCAAGCTCGGGTGAAGAAGCCCTCGTCTGCATAGAGCGCAGAACTGAGAAGTCCAACCATGAGGATCGGTGGACTATGTTAGAAGATGACACCCTCTGCCTAATGGCCAAAGATGATGCTGATCAAGAGGTAACTTCACAAACCTCCTGCTCATCCTCTTATGAAAGCATACCAACTTCTGAAAATCTTTTTGACCAGTTCAAAAAGATGATGGAAGATTTTGAGGAAATAAATCTCAAACACTCATCCTAAACAGAAGAGAACAAGCTACTAAGTGAAGAGAATCTCAAGTTGACTGAAGGTCGGAAAAGTCAACTAAGTGAGATTACTCAACTTAAGGCTGAGAATGAGTCTCTCTCTGAAAAGGTGAAATCCCTCAACAAGGAACTAGGGATACTTAAGTCCAAAGAAGCAGTGGATAAGATTCTTGAAATGACCAAACATAACGAAGCAACTCAGCTCAGCTAGTTGTGGAGTTACCCTTCCAGAGGAGAGGTCTCGAGTTCGAGTCCCACTCTGCGCCAGTGGAACTATGCCTCCCCAAAAAACCCTTCAAGTGGTAGGGCCAAGCGGTGTATACTAACCCGTAAGGCCAAGCCAAAGTTGGCTTTCTAAGGTATGGGGCCGCGAAAGCGGTGGGGCTAGTCACTATAAACAGTTTACCCTAACATAGTTTCCTTGAAAGAGCTCTCAATAATGGAGTCTGACGTTTTCTCTCTCTAGCCGCGCAATGAACAGTGCCGCAAAGATGAGAACGACGATTACTCCATGGATTTGAGCTTGCTTTGCATCATTTTTGGAACCTGGGGTGCGCCTACAGCTGGTGCATCCATTTCAGGAACAATTTCGCTGTTTTTGGAGAAGGAATTTGCAAGAAACGAAGGTCAAAGCTATGCCCGACACTGTTCACTCGCGGCTTTGCATCTCTGATTCCCTTCGATCCAGAGCTTCTTGATAGCTAATTCTTGTATATTTTGATAGGTTTGTAATCCTCTTCTATGATATGAAGTTGGATTTCATTATCAGTTGGTTTTCTTAGCGATTTGTGGATTTTTGGATTTCGAATCCACTATTCACAGCGAGAAGCATGGGTATGAATGTTTATGCTTTTTGACCAATTTTTGTGGATCCTTTGCTGCTAATTCGTGAGGTTGTTTATGTTAAACAAATAATCTTTTGAATTTGCTTCTGAACTGAGGATGATAAACGAACAGCTGGTCTTCTGTTTTTGACCCATGAACTTCCGTTCTTGCTGCTGTGCTTTTGTGAACTATATGAATTCTCTCTGGGTTATTTTTCCTGATGTGCTATTTCTTGGGGAGTGCTTGAACCCATGGAAACTGAAATGTTGGGTCTGGTATTGCCCATAACACCATTGTTGCTGGTATGTGAGTTAGATTATGATGGTGAACCATGGCCTTGAAACTGCCCATTTGATTGTTGCTTGAATGCACTACCTTCTGTGCTCTAATGTCTGGATGCATTCCTTGTGTGGTTCTGGGCTGTGCCTTGATGTTGGAACATCTACCCTGGTATAATGGTCTTCGTGAAAGTTCCACCTCTCCCTCAACCTCCTGAAGACTCAACTTTGTCATACCTTACCTCATTTTCATGAGGTAGGGACTGATTTGAACCCTTGACAGTTGTGTTGTGTGGAAGTTGATGTTGGGGAGGGAGCTAGTAACCTTGTGCCTTGTTTGTGCCTTGGGTATGACTGCGCCTGCTGGTAGGACTGCCTGGTCAACCTGGCTATGGGTATGACTGCGCCTGCTGGTAGGACTACCTGGTCAACTTTGCTATGGACTTTGCTTCATTATTGGTGATTATGGGTGCTACCTGGACAGTGGCTATCCTGCTGCCATTGACCTGGGCAGTAATGCAGTATCGTAACTGCATTCCCCTGGAATTTGGTTCTATTTTGTGTATGGGCTGAACATGGTGGAGCTGCTGATTTTGGTTGGTACCAATTGAGGTGGAGCTGCTCAATTTGGGTTGTTGAAGACTGACTTTGGGCTGTGGAGGACTAAAATTGGTTATTTCTTATGGGAGAAGTTGTGAAGGACGGTTGGTCCTTAGCCACTTGTTCTTGGAGCCTTGGGGTACCCCCTTACTGTGGCTTTCCCTACTGCTTAGGGGATTCTAAGGGCAACTTCCTGGTCCTTTTTTTATGGATCATGCCTGTTTTTGATGTGTAACACCCTAATCTGTCCAGGTCTGCAGCCCCTTTCAGATTAAAGTATTAACTTGGTAATCGTAAAAATTTAAAACATTTCAAACACTTTTATTTATCACAATAATATTTTTCATAATATAAACAGTACGGAGTTTTCAATATCGCGGAAGCTTAACAATCATAATCACAAACATAATTTATTTATGTTCTTTAATTCAAAAACCATCAAATCCATTCCGACAATCTCGCCTCCATCTGCCTCCAGGATCACGTCACTTCATTAACCTGCGTGTAGCAAATAAAACATAATACACGCTCAGCGTTGAAGCTGAGTAAGCATATCTAATGCATCGAATATCCATATAAACTGAATCTAAATTCATAATCAAATCATTTGATATCATGCACATAATGTTCAGTTCAGATAATCAATAATTATTAAAAATTATTCATCATGCATTATTCAACATTTATATTCACATTCAATGTTCATCAGTCATTCATAATAATTGCAATATTCAATTCAATATTCATCATTCAATATTTACTCATATTCAATATTCAATATTCAATATTCAACATTCAACAATATCCTTAAACTATTCTTAGTCTAAGGCCAATCACTTTAATATTTGTCAACCCTTAAACGAATTCTAGTTTAAATAATTAAAATATATTCCAGTATAAAATATTCCTAAATAATCCTTAAGCTAGGCCTAGTTTAAGATAAAAAGGTTTTGAAAATCTTAAACTTACCTTCACTTAAGGCCAACCAAAAACCGACAGCGTAGTGTTCACTGTTGGGTGGGTGGTACCCCCAAACGAGTAGGTACTCAAGTTTGGTTCCTGGATCCCGTACGTACGTTTTAACCCTAGCCACCGGGGTTCATACCCGCAAGGCCTAACATAAATAGGTATATCTTAGAGGTCTTCTAGATACCTTTCAAATCAACATTAATATGGGTATATCTTAGAGGTCTTCTAGATACCCTTAACAACACATT